TTGGGGGCTTGTGTTTAGTGTTGTTACTGGATATAATATTTATTTCCATAGTAAAATCACATGTAGCGAAAGCATAGTATGAAATTGGGCCACTTAAAAAAAAAATGCCCGCCTTGCTGTTGAAAATGTTCCTACCTCTAAATGGACGTTAGTATGGAAAGTCAAACTAATCATAGGAAGTTTGCTCTTAGATGTCAGATTCATTCTTGTGTTTAAAGAAGACACAGAGAGGAGAGGAAGGAAAAAGAGAGGGAAGAGAGGGAGAGAGGGGAGTGGCAGGAAGGGAAGGAGGGAAAGAAGGGAAGAAGGGAAGGAAGGAAAGAAAAGAGAAATTCTTCTTGTAAGTATTCTCAGGTGTCCACTGTAGAAAGGTCATCTCCCTGAGTTTCCTTTTTCTTGAACAGATTTCTTCAGGAATATGGTCATCTCCCTGAGTTTCCTTTTTCTTGAACAGATTTCTTCAGGAATATGGTGTTACTTTTTTGTTAAGAAATAAATCTCTCTGTGAAATCAAAATTAGTGCTGCACTTTTTCAGGCATCCAAGATGAAAAATAGTTTTACACATGAATAATACTTAATGTTTAGTTATGAGGCCCCAGGTTCAGCCTAAAATCACTTGTATTCCCTCCTTTCTTCTTTTCAATCATGATTCTAAGGAACAGAATATTATTTTTTAAACACAGAAACTTCCCATAAACATGAATTACACAGTTTTCCATTCTTCTCTCTTCCCATTCTCATGGCTGCCCTGCTGCACTCCAAGGGAACACCAGTTACTTTTTTGGTGGAGACCTAACTTATGTTCATGATTTGATTGAGAAGGTTTTTCATCTATGTGCATGTAGACAAACATGAGTTTGGGCTAATGCTTTTATAGAAAGAAACCCATGTCTTGTCCAATCACATACCTTCTCTCTGTTTATAAATACCCCACCTTGCACTAATTTGTCTCTGCCTTCAGAAAAGCAGTTGGGTAAACTCTGATCATTAATGGGGTATTTCATTATAACTCATGGTTAACTTACAAATAACATTTTTAAAGACAAGCTTCTAAAGAGGCACCCATAATGAGTCAAAATTTTTCTCCCTCTTTCATGATGGATGTATCAAAAGTATCATTAAGAGTAGTAACAATAGAAAGCTGAGATGGCATACATGTGCAGCAACCAAGTTTAACATAAAAAAGAATTGTTCATTGACATTCACAAGGAAAAATATCCCTAAGCATTCTAAGAGGTGATGCAGAAGTGTGAGAACTGCTATTACCTGCTGTGTTCTGTGGTTTCATTTCTTTGGTGGTTGGGTGATGTTTGGAGTTAACTTGGGTTTGCCTGTGGTATCTGTGGGTTTTCTTCTCCTCCTCTTCCTCCTCTCCCCCCATTTCCTCCTCCTCCTTGCATTTTAGGTATCTTTTTTTACCATACAGCACTAAGTAATAGGGAAATATGTGTTTTTTCAAGTGCCCGACTTGGATAATCAAGCCAATTAAAGGACAAATGTTAGTACTCTGGCCTCAGGATGGCTGCCATCTCTGCACCTGTAACTCTAAGAATGAAAATGTTAGTTATTTATGTTGTACTTTCTGCCTCTTGGATCTCTAGTGAGTTGACCTGATTTTTATAGCCCCTTTACCCAAGCAATGAGGATTCTTCCCCTCACTTCATCCCTCTCCCCACATTCCACCCACCCCCCACCCCATAACTGGTTGGCTTAGGAGGAGATCTGTAACTGGGATGAAGCAGCTGTTGGCTTCATGCCGTCTTCTAACTTGATTATTCTTTGGACACGTTAGGCAAGCATTAGTGATTGATAATGACGCTAATTAACCCCTTTCCTTTCCAAACAGTAAACTGCTGCCAGCAGGATGCTACAAACAATAAGTATAAAACACTGCATACATCAATATCTGTTTAAAGCACAACTTCATTTAGGCACATTTAACCGTATTGTTTTCAGTTAACAATTCAGTATTTATTCAAGCACTTCTCCAAAACCCAGAGGGGGGAGGCAGAGAGAGAGGGTTAAGAAAAGGGGCCTGTGGCTTTAAGACCACAAAAAGCTGTCATACCTGTCAGCTACAGCAAAATTAAGCTCTAATGGAAACCATGCATAATTTTTTCTTTATTTCAGGTCAATAATTTTTAAAAACTTAATTAATCCAGCTCTGTTCTTAGCCTATTTAAACTTAATGCAGGGTTGATGACCACATGATTTTTTTCTTTGTAGAGGAAAACAGCTCTCCTACCTGATATGGAATTACTATAAATTTACTTTTGGTTGAGAAAGGAATGGGAGACAATGTTCCATAAAGAGTGGTGAAATTTAGATTTTAAGCAGGATTTGGGGAGAACCAGGGCAAATTTGATCTGATTCTACAGCTTAACATAAACTGAATTGTAAAGAAATGTACATTAAATTTGGAATTTTGATAAATGAATATTCCTAGCAAGTGAATAAAATGTATTCAATTAACTAAAACCCTGTGCACTTCTGAACTGAAGTGGAATCGACTGTAATTGATTTATTTGAAACCAGAGGTTAAGGACTGAATTAGCTAAGTACAACTGGGTATTTCAAGCCACTGACTTCTCAAATGTCAAATCCCTTCTATTTTAAATATTATTTCAGCTGCGGGGCATTGCAGTCCTGATGGTAGTTCCATCAAGAACTCAAATTATATTAATATTCGATTTTGGGGAGGAATGGGTTGGATCATGATTTTCAAAGGGTGTAGAAGAATAGAAGGGGTAATGAAGAAGCATTGTGTTTCCATAAAAATTGGGTGTGGTAATTAGCATTAGCCTAGCAAGCATTCTTACAATTCAACCATGTATCTTAATTTGACTTAATTCAAAGATAATCACTTCTGTTAGTTTATAATAAGCATGTTACCTGTCCAATAATCACCATGTGTTTTAGAAAATACACATTGGTTACAACAGAAAAAAACAAAGTCCACATAGCCTTTGGTTAGTCCCATAAAAATTATTTTTAATAATAACCCCTCTAATCTTCCCACCTCTTAAAAAAGACATAACTTCTTTTAAAATTTTTTGCTAAAGAAAAAGAAGTGCAATATCATAGTCCTCAAAATGTCCAACTATGGAATAAAAATAATTAATTCTATGCCTTTGGAAACCATTGTTTATAATGACCTTGTAATGTTCTAACCCACTATTTCCTTTCTGTCTTTCTCAGGATGCAAGGATTATATTGGGTTCAGGTTTTCCAACATAACAAGCATCTGTAAATCCAGATATGAATGAATGGTATTTAATAAGATTGTTTTCGTTTTAAAATGAGTATTTATGTGTCGTTGGAGAAAGCAGCAATGTATGGCTGTTTATGAATGCTATTGTGCCTGAGGTTAGGATCCCCCCACACAATCTGAGATGCAGCCAAGAAAAACAGCCCTGATAGACAATGCTTCACTTCACCTGCTACGATGCTGTGTGCATTTCATTTCTGTCAAGAGTATGTACAGTTAGGGTTCATTCGCCTCATTATTTTGTTACATCTACGTTACAGTTAAACAGTCTCTCTAGGAAATAATAAATAACCGTTTTAAAAAACAATTGCTGCTTTGCGTTCTGAGGATACACTCTCCATTTGAATTAAAAAAAAAAAACACCACCATTGTTATGAATTCTCTGGCTTTGGAAAATAGAATTTAGACTCCACCAACTCTCGTTCATTTGCTGGGATTGATTTTACACTGCCTTCTCTAAGGAGATTAGAAAGCAAAAGGCTGCAAAATGGACACTGCCTAATGCTTTGCTTCCTTAGTCCTTTGGAATGTCAAACTGGATGAACAAACATTAAATCTCCTCTGGTAGGTAGATTATACCTGTACCTAGATACTTTTTCTATGACTTTTTCCATAAGCCTTACAGTTACCACCTTCATTTTCTTCTGAAAAAAAAAAAAATCACTAGAAATCCTTCTCACTTCCAAAGCAGACTTTTCAAATCAGTTAAAAAAGCTCTGAGTTCACCATTTTTATGTACAGCAAGTCCCTCCTCTGTAACAGCTAAGCACATAGTCCTGTTATTGTGGAAGACAGATAGGAGAGGTCTGCAAAGGCCCTCCCCCAGCCTCACCATGGTACCTCAACTTCAGAGAACATGTTATACTTCTAAAAGGTTCTAGGAGGAGTCCCGTGGTGATAGAAAGAGGTGGGTCGGCAATTAGGAGCAAACAGGAACAAGTCTGGGAATCAACATAATTTCCTACTCCCCTCTACTACTACAATACTACTAAGAACAGCACAGGAGTGAATTTACCTCCAAATAAAATAGTAAAATAAATGGGAGACAGTTTGCCTTCTCTTTCTCGGCCCCACATACATTTCTTGCCACTATTTCTTTTTCTCTCAGAAAACTAGAGCTAGTTTTTAGTTCATTTAACATGTCTCAGCCACTGAGAAGTCTGAGCTAGCAAGTGTAGGCTGAGGTGGTTATTTCCTTTGTGTGAATGAACTAACTATTTAAATTTCCGTTATCTTCTGAGTCAGATTACAAAATAGTTGGTAGGGGAGAATCTTCTGTTCTGTTCTCCATCTTTCTTGTCATGCTCAATGTTTAGTTGTGAAGGTTTATATTTCGGTTTCCAAAACACAAATGAAAACCTAAAGGATCAACATAAATGAAATAAAACTTTATTTTTAATAATAAAATTAATGTTTCTAGTAAAGAAAGAATAGTGTGCCATTCCTTTAGCGGTACAATCTTTTATCCAAAAGAATACATTGGATTTTATTGTGTCATTTGTCTGAATACAGACTCAGTGGAATATCTAAATGATACCCTGCTCTGAACTCCAAGTTGAAAGTAAGTTTTTATTATACTTGAGGGAAACAATGGGTTCAGCTGCTTATTGCAAGGAGCAATTGCCAAGGGAGAGTTAAACTCAATTACTGTAACCATACTGAATAAAAAATACTGCCAAGAACAAAAATACGCCTGGGTAAAGACAGCCACTGAATAAAAAAAAATCGACATAAAGCGTATCAAATATTTATTTATCTGGGCAACAAAGGACTATGATACATTGACAGGCATGGAAACTACTGCCAGCACAACTCAATACAATACAACCAGGACTGCTTCCAAAATGGCCAGTGAAAATACAGAATACCAGGTGGTCCCAAATGTTTGAAGTTCTTTGAACAAAAAGAGAGGAAAAATCCCTAACCCTTGGTTTAAAGACAATACTCATTTATTGCTCAAATGATGCTTTTAAGGGAGGAGAGTGGAATAAAATTAACTTCTTCCCCCTCCTCACAATACATTAAAGGGTTATGAAACCACTCAAGTTTAAAAATCTTTCCAGGGTCGAATATCAAATTTTCTTTCAGTTCAATGAGAAGCTAAATGTAATTCTAATTGTATATAAAATTTTACTGTTTTTTTTATTTGTTTAGCTGTTTCATTGTCATCTTTAACATGCTAAATTCATGAATCCCAGAGGAAAAAAAGAATCCCCCAAACCTTGAATTTCTAAATAAGTACCATGAATCACATGAAGAACTAATGGGGAAGATTCAAAACCCACTAAACAAGAGGTAAACAAGATCACCAGATAAATTAAAAAAAAAAAAGGCTTAAAACAGATGCACCATATTTACACTTCCCATTAAATTACACATAAATAAATATATACATAGACATGAACACTGATTCCCTTATATAACTGAATCGTGTTGCCAGAGAAAGTTCAAGTTGGTTGCTTTACCTTAAAGAGGAAAAACTTCTACAACTGAGACATGACATGGAACTTCGTATTTGTGTTCAAGTTTATTCACAATACTGATAAAAATGTCATTATCCTTTTGCCTTTTTTAAGTATGGCTACAATCTGAACTGAAGTATGTAAGGGAAGGTGGTGATCCAGTCCCATGAAGCTCATATAATTTTTTTTTAATTTTACTTTCTTTTTTTAGAAAAAAGTTTTAATTTTTTTGTTGCTGTTGTTGATTTGTGGGGTTTTTTTTAAATTTTTTAAAAAAGTTCACAAATCCAGACAGAACTTTTCTTTGCTGGCTTCATAGCCAGTCTGTTCTGTTCTCGTAGGCTCCACAGGAGGGCAAAGGAGTTGGTTCTGATGGGGGAAGTTGAGGCAGGGGCCTGAGTCAGCAGGAGCTGCCCCACTGACAGTGGAGAGCCATCCCCAGACTCCCAGACTGGAGGACTGGAGGACTGAAGGCGGCGGCGGCAGCGGTGGCGGCGGCGGCAGCAGCAGCAGCAGCAGCAGCAGCAGCAGCAGCAGCAGTAGGGGGTTGCTGATCCTGGAGCTGTCACCTGCTGGTGGTGGTTGGTGGGGGAAGACTGAGTGGGTGAGCTCTTGGGGAAGGAAGGGGGCTGGTGAGGCAAGGAAGGGGGCAGAGCAGGAGGAGAGCCTCACTTTCTGTGTTTCTCCTCTTTGTCACTGCTTTTGGCGCTGTTGTCCGTGTGGCTGTTGGGGTTGTTGCTGAGGTACATTTTGTCCATGGCCTTGAGGGCCTCGGTGAGATAGTTCTGCAGGGCCGTGACTGCTGCGCACACAGCTGGGCTGCCGAAGCCGTGGGAGATGAGGTTGAAGTGGGTCAAGCAGCTCTGGATGCCAGGCTCCAGGATGGGATTGGGCCGGGAGTTCCCCAGGGGAGATCGGTCCTGAGCCAGCAGGTCAGTGAACTCTTTGCATATCTGTCTGCAGCACAAGTGAAGCAGAGAGAAAGAGGGAGACATGAGACTCTCCTGCGGCAGCACCACAAGCAGCAAAGAGAACCTTTCTCCCTGCAGTTACTTCCTCTGGGATTCAGCAGACACTGACCTGATCCACCTGAGGGTCCAGCCCCAGAGACAGCCTTGCAGTGGACACATGCTGGAAAATCCAGCAGTGTCAACTAAAACACCTCTCCTTCCCTGGTATTTCCACCAATTGCTGTTTCTCTCCCCCTCTCCTCCACTCAGCTACACCAAACTTCTAACCCACTCCTCTATCGGCTCACACCACACATCACAGACACCAGAAAACATTTCACACATGAGAAGAGCAACAAAGGAGAGTAAGAGGGACAAAAAGTCAAACACAAGCCCCTTTTCTTTTCTTTTAAGATTTTTTATTTATTCATTTTTAGAGAGGGAAGAGAGGGAGAAAGAGAGAGAGAGAGAGAGAGAGAGAAACATCAATGTGCGGTTGCTGGGGGGTCATGGCCTGCAACCCAGGCATGTACCCTGACTGGGATCGAACCTGCGACACTTTTGGTTCGCAGCCCACGCTCAATCCACTGAACTACACCAGCCAGGGCACAAGCCCCTTTTCGATAGCCAACAGCAAGCAGCCAGAAGCTGTCCAGCCCTTCTTCTCTGATCTTCCAGAGAGAGCTCAGCAGCAGTCTGTGGGATGAAGTTTCTACTCACTCACCTTCAAGTCAGTTGCATGTGAACAGAAAAGCAAAACTTTTATTGGGATTATATTGCATTTTTTTAAAAAAGGCATGAAAAACCTGTTACTTGGGCATAATTTAGAATGGTTTTGGGAAAAAGACCTATCAATTTCCCATTCCACATCTTATCCTACTACACATCAAAATGAAGTCCTACTACACATCAAAATGAAATAACGTAAAACTCTTTGGGGGAAATTGTGAGTATGGGTGTGCTTGAGTATGGGGGGGAGAGAGAGTTGAAATACAGTCAGATGAGGTCTGCACACTGGGAGCTCTGCCTCTGAATCTGGGAAATAAGGACTAGCTGGGGCCTTGAGGATGGGGGTGGTGAGAAGGGAGAATGGGGAACACTGACAGACTACCTTCCCAAAAGTCGGCCAGTGTCCCCAGGCAAGAAACTGTCTTGCCTGAGGCCTCAGCCTCGGCCCTTTGGTTCCATGCCCTCCTGTGACATCAACTTTGATAATTAAGGGCTTCCAAACAAGCCTTTTAATTTCCAGAAAACATACCAGTACAGTCATTTTCTTTTCACAAACCACCTGGAGACTATTCAGCCCAGGCACCCATGGGAATATAACTTGGGGCTATTTTGAAACCTACTTGACATCTCACCTGTGGGCTGAAACTCATGGGGAATGTGTGTGTCTATATGTTTGTGTGTGGCATTTTCCAGGAAGGAGGAGAAAGGAAGGCAGGAAGTAGGATAAGGAGATTAGAGTTGAAACTAGGACAGTTTCTGGCTTGCATATTTTGTAGGCCACTACTTAATCCTCGCACTGGGAGAACATTGATAGAAGACAAAAACTGACCTAGCAAGACAAAAACTGATCAAGGCAAGCCTGCTACCCCTTTAAGGACTTGATTCTGGTGTTTCTAAAACAAAACAGTCACAAATCCACACTCAGCTTCTATCAAACCCATACTATCCTGTACCCCTCCCCCCACACATTTATTATTACTATTTTTGAATGAGAAGGTGAAGCAGGAGAGAGGAAAAAGATGGAAATACATGAGCAATCCTACTTGTAACTCCCCTTTAAAATAGATTATGGTTTATCAGATTGTGCTGCAATTTTAATATTTACAACAAACTGATTAACACAAAAGGAAAAGAAAAGTGAGAGCAAAAAAACATTTTTGATTTTTGTTTTTCTTCACAATGAGACAGAGACACCCTGAAGAGGTAAACGCCTTACTTTGTAGCCAGAAGCATGTTTTTTCTTGTCACTTGCTCATTGGGATCGGAATGTTGTCGGTTGAGAAATTCAGCTACTGCTTTGGCAGGAAATTCGGTTTCACACACGTACCCAAAGTCCCTGGCTAGATGGACGGCTTCTCCTGGCAAGAGGTGAGAGGAGAGAGGCGAGTGCAAGAGAATGTAGAGTTGAGATCAAAACTTCCTCCCAACTCCCTTATTTTCTTAAACCAGATGTTGAAAGAAACACAAAAATATTTGTTTTCTCATTTCAGGCATTTTATTTCCATCTCTGTAGGATCTGGTGGATGTAGTTATCAGAAAAAATGGCTACTTATCTTAGAAGGCTGAGATAATTTGGAAATGTAAACCCCATCCACTGTCCTCCAGTCTCATCCCCCACCCTGGTAACATTTTCCCAACTTCTCTTTTTAGAGTATTTCTTGTATTCCAACCTCATACCTATCAACACATTTATAAACGGTATTCATAATTACTCCTTGAGCTTCTCTGCAAGGTAACAACTTAGGGTTTACATTTTAACTTGATCGCATATAATTATCTGTTCATCCAAACCGATTAACCAAGAGGATTTGAGGGTCACTCCACTGAGTCTGTCTGTGTTGTTGATTTTCAAATCTTTGGTTTTAATTTCCTGAACCAGTTGGTTTTTACTGCAGGGCTTCCTGCCATTAGCTCCAGCTCCGGAAGAACGCATGCGCCAATTAGAGCATCAAAGCCCTCTCCGCAGAGCTTGTTTCCATAAAATGGAGCGGATCACAAACAATAACAGTTCTCCAGAAACTGCTTCCTTGCTACAGGACTCAACCCCCAAACCCATACACACTCTCACACTACACCTGAAGCCACTACTACCATTTTCTTTGGGTATAGTTATTTTGGAGTATGGATAGAGGGTTCTCTATGTACTGGTATTACTTTTAGTAAATATAATGCTACTGTAGATAGTTTCTGGCGCTGAACAGTTGCTTATTATTTAACAGTTATGTTATTGTCATCCTTGACACCACTAACAAATGGTTCATAGGATTCCTCCTAAAATTTATGGTTTAAAACATTTTTAGTTATTTACAAAGCCAAAAGTTGAATTTAACTGTATTTTATCTCCTCAAATACAAAATTTAAATAAGATAAAATACCTTCTTTAAATATGAATGGCAGTTTTGAAATCTGCCTGATAATCAACATGCCTTTTTCCTATAGCCATAAGGCATTTCCAAGAGAACACAGAGGGAGATGCAAGAGAGCTATACATTTACTTAAACACATTCAAACTTAAGCCAATTTTGTATCAGAAAAACTTAAAAGACATCTAGAGGAAGCAGGAATGTGAGAAGATTCTGGTGACAGTTCATCTAGAGCAGGGAGTGAGGACAGGGTCTACTTTTGTTCCGAGGGGTTTGGAAGCAGGTATGGCATGTGTGTTGTGTGTGTGTGCATGCATATGTGTGTTTAAAACTATCAGGAGAAACTTTTTGCAATGCTTATATTTCTCTTTTCTTTTCCCATCCAAACAATTCAGGGTCTAAAATCACTCACTTTTCTTCCCCTCCAGTAAAGAAGCACAATTAAAGGACAGATACAGAAGCATATGTTTGGAAAACAAAAACTCAAAGGGCGTATAACCCTGAGCTTTCAGGATGGTCTTAAATCAGGATGCAGGTCAAAGATTCCCAAATTAATTCAGGAAGTAATGGTCACGCATTTCTCAAATGCAGATGTCAGAATACCTTAAGTGATTTACCGCTGAGCTCTATAAAGGAGACAGGAACTTGGAGAATATGCAGTTCTTAAATTTTCACATTGTTTAGGTCAGAACTAGGCTGGGGAGGAATAATTTTGTGGCAGAGGGGAAGAGAAAAGGAGGATAGGAATAAATGCAAGTATTTTTTTGACATGCAAGAATTCCACTCACTTCCTGCTTTATTCTCTGGAAAAAATGAAACTGCCCAATTGACACAAAGTACAGCCAAACATCTGGTCACTAAGTATTAATCCATTTTCCCAGAAGAAAATTCCCTTCTTGTGAGCAAGTAGACTCGCTTACCCTCCACTAGTGATGTGAGCAGGGTGACATTGGCAGCTTTACGTCTCCCTGCTGGCAGATTTAATCCTATTTTGTCCAGTTTTTCTCTTAAAGATCTTCCTCCATTTTTAGACTTCGCCCTGTTTCACAAATATAGGCGAGAAAGGGATTTAGAAAACATTGGGTTGTTCTGTATCACATTACAATAATTTTGACAAGTTCCTAAAATGTGCTTTTAAAAATTAGGAATCATAGCCCAGAGACATTCAAGGGAGGGAAACCTAGGAAGGATTGGGACAGAAAGATCATAGGAGATAAATGCTTATTAAACTGTAAAGCACCCCTGTAGTTCAGTTATTATTGCAACTACTGTGGCAGGATGGAAGGTTTTGACTCCCAACTCTCTGAAGAACCACAAACAAAAACAGCTCTCACCTCTGGGGTTTGAGGTATTATTTAGTTCAATTGATTACTGTATCATTTTCCCTGTTGTTACACTCACATAAATCCCAATGGGGTCTTTAAACTGTCTTTGTAAGATCTGCTGTTAGGTTGTTCAGAGTAACCAAAGTTATCATCACTCTCACGTTTCTTGCTCTGGCTTAAGCCCCAGTGGGGAATTCATTTCACCAACTGTTTACATGCCATGTCATCAGCCTAACTGGAAATGTCAAAAGCTGATAACAGCCTTTAAAAATTTCACTGATTTCAGAGACAATGGAGGCAGTTCTAAATAGATGTCTAAATAGATTCCCATAATCAGAAAGTGGTTAAGATAAATTGTTTAAATAAAACAGCAAATTAATTAATTTCAGATTTTATTCCCTACTCAAGTGCTCTTTAATTGTGCGGATTAGATTATACTCCCCTAGGTAAACAGTCTCCAATATTGGGGATGGGGGAAGGGGAAGAAAGGCAGAGGGCGGATTCAAATCTGTGACAGTGAAAGATTACAAAAGGACAGCAAAGAGACTGTGAAGGAAGAAGAAAAGATTAAAACAGCTGATGTTAAAACCTTCCAAAAAATGTTTTTATGGGCTTCGTATGTGATATACCCATTACAGCAGAACTAAAAGTCTCATAGTATAGGTAAATAAGTAAATATCAAAAAGATCAAGTTTTGGCCTACTTTCTTAATTTTCTTTTAAGGGAAGAAAGAAAATATTATCTGGGAAAGTTCAACACAAGACCCACCACTCAAAACACTGACTGGAACCCTGGAAAAAAGAAGCCCACAGGAAGGAAAAACCTACCCTGAGGGAAGATGCCTCACCTCGCAGACCCTTATAAAATCTTATCTACGAAATGAATCATTCTGACCTCCTGGAGGTGAATGAGAATCCCTTGCCGCCTACGAAACACGCTTTCGTCGGCAGACTATGCGAAGTACACTTAAACGTGCCTTGCTAGTCTGGCACATCGGGAAGGCCTAACATCACAACCACTTAGTGAGTGCCTTGGGCAAGGGGAGTCACCGCCTGGCCGAGGCAACCACCAGCGGGCGTGGCGTGCAGACAACCACGAGCGGGCGTGGCGTGCAGACTCGAGAAAAACCCACTGTGTTCTATTTAAAACCCTATTCAAGAAACCACGGGTTACCGTCGGAGATCCTACAGGGAGGTAAGGAAAAGTGAAGAGCCCGACAGGAAGTTTTCCAGCGCCTGCAAGGTGTGCGCAAGGAGGTAAAAGGCAGCTGCACGGCGCCCCGCTGCTGCAGCTGCGGGGACTGGGAGCAAGGCGACACTCGCTGCGCGTGCGCGTGCGCGCAGGGCTGGGAGGGCGGGGCCGGATGGTTCTGGGAGCGCGCTGCCGCTATCTACCCGAGCGCGCGCCAGAACCCTCCCTCCTCCGCGCGCGGGAAGCCGGCGAAGCGCGCAGGCGCGCGCCGCCTCGCCCCACCTCCAGCTCCCAGCCATCCAGTTCCACGCCCTGCCCCCCGCCCCTTTCTTTTCCCGCGAAAGGAGGGCCGTGGCGCGAAGCTCGCGTGCGTCGCTGCTCCGGCGCAGGCGCAGTGTTTCCCCCAGCCGCGGGGCGGGGAGGGTAGGGCCGCGCAGGGCCTCACCTTCGCAGCACTCCGCCCAGCAGCGAAGCGTTGAGACACTCGGGCGGTGAGAGGCGCCGCTGTACTTCCGCCACCGTGACCTTGTACTTCGAGGTGGAGCTGAGGAGCGAGAGGCGACCCGGAACTGAACAGAAGACTTCGTTGGGGTTCACGACGCCACCGAAGAGGTTGTCCTTATTAATGGGTATGGCGGAGACAGCGTTGCTGTTGGACTTGGACAGGGACACGGGGCCTGCGGAGACAGACCGGGAGGCCTTGTGTGGGCGTCGAGGATCCCTCCCAAGTCCTGCTGGACACGACTCTTCCCTGGCCAGGGCAGGCGCCCAGGCTTGCGCTGCAACCCCCACTTTTGCATCCCTAAAAATTCCATGGCTCTCTCCCCGTTTCCTACCCTATTCCGTCCTGGGGATCAAGACTGCTCCTCGGCGCGCCTCACCCCTCGGGCAGGAGTTGTTGTGCCCACCCAGCCCCATCAGCCAGACCTGTGTTTCTGCCTGGATCCTTTCCTTTTAGCCTCAAGGGTGCTGTCGAGAGATGGTGGTGAAATTGTGACCCTCTGAACTCTCAGCATCCGAGCAGAGTGGGCCCCAGATAAGATGCCTGAGCACGGGTTTAGGATGCTTGGTTACAAACCAAGATCAAGCTATGTCTACTTTGGAGTTTTGTGGAGTGAGGGGTTTAATGGGAAGAAATTGCTTTATACACCTATAATTAAAATCAGCCCAGATTTAGATGGCAAGTCAGCCTGTAAATGAGCATTTTCAGTCAAAGCATCAACTGAGAAGTGGTGAATTCTGTTGTCACACAGCACACATGCCCCCTCCTTTTGACAAATAGGCCCTTTTCCATGTTTAGTTTTGAGAAAGACTCGAATTTTGGAGAACCATTCCAAGCTGCGTCTTGTCCTGGGAGAAAGAAGGGTAAACAGGCCTATCATAGACTACTAGTAATATGTCTTTTTGTTGAGCAAATAGTTAATAATCAGCTTAAGCATCTTCATTGGGAAGGGGGGAGGATACATTAGTAGTCAGAGAAAATTCAAGTCCAGCAGAAAGTGTACTAATGTTACATTTCTCAACACCAGTATAATTCGGATGCATTCACAGCCATTTCAGTACAGTATGTATTTGTGTTTTTAATTCCACGTTGAGACATATATTAAGCATGCATTCGTATCATCATACTCCTCCATCTTTAATGGGGATATTCTAGATGTATGGGAAGGTGGGGGCTCTAGGTTTTGGATAGATCACTTGTGACATTAATAGCTCTGGGGAGGCTAATAGAGACAATAGGAGTTAAACGAACTCTTGAGAGATTACTAATAAAAGAGCCAATTATCATGTCGACTTGGAAAGAGCATCTCTTAAGATTTATCCCTTGCACATCTAATTTGATGTGACAAAGACTTCACAGATGTAAAAATGAAACTTTAAACTAACTAACAATATACTGATTGGGGTTAGAAATGAGAACAGTTTTATATAGCATCATCCTCTGGTGGTGCCTAGAGTCCTGAAATGTAACATTGCCATTATAACAACAAAAAAGCTTCTGGGAATATTGTTTAATCCAGTAAACTTTATTTCTACTCACTAAACACAAGTTACAAATCCATTAACATCACTGGACACTTTAAACAACTTTTGCTATGAACAATTAAGCTAACATTCCTGGCATCTTTAAGATGTTAATTTTAACCAAAAGCCAAGATTTTGTTAACCTAATTCACAAACTTTAAAAACCCTTAAAGAACTAATGAGAAATTAAAATGAAAAACCTCGATGGTTTTTTCCCCTCTGCTAAGGAGTGCTACATCTTTTTATCATCTGCCCTTATATTAATATTAACTTATTTGCACTCGTTTAGCATGTTGCACTTCTTCACACTCTTGGCCACTCACACAATGGATTAACTACACTATGAAAACCATTTCACAATTGAAATGCCACTTCCAAATCAGTTCAACTATTTACACGTGTGCATTTGTCACAATCGCATTAAATTAAATGGTCAAATCATGAATCAGAACAAAGTTAGCCTGTTGCCATTGCTAACCTACTGAAAGCCAATCATTTAGGTATCGCTATTGTATGCCTATGTATTTGCTAATTCTGAGCCTTTAGGAAAACGTATTTGAAAAAATACAGTTCTGCAAGTTCTTTTAAAGAGCCTGTACAGACATGCTTGGAATGCAAAAGGAAATGGCTTACCTTTCTTAATTACAGTTTGATCTGGGATGTTAATACCCGGGTCTTCTACATGCTGGAACAAAAGGATACACATGGATGTAAGTGTATAATCAAAACAAAAGGAAATGAATATTCCCTGCAAGATGGGGGGAGGGGAAGGAGTAAAATAGAAATTCCCCCCTTATAGTGACATTTATATATAAACAACTCATCTTGGCTTATTGGAATTTGGGGCTTTGCAACTCAAGAGGTTTCACTGCACACCCAAGGCCAACTTCTCCTCCCGCAGCAAATAATTCACATTTGAAAGAGGTGGGGGTGGGCGATAAAACTTTCTTTGGAAATTAAAATCAAGTTTTGGAATACCTAATCCTTTTCATAATTAGTTCGACCTTTTAAAATGCACCTAGCATTACTTTGGTGCCTCAGCAGCTTCGGACTTTTAGTGATTCCAAAGCTTAGGCAGCAAAAGCCAGAAAAACAATAGAAATGACAGAGATGGGAGTAACAGGGAAGTGTTGGATATGATTTAGGTAGTGTGATAAACAGCAAAGGCATACACACACCTTACGGAAAAATGAACATAATTTGTTTTTAAAAATGAAGGGCTACTGCCTAACTTGGCTATCAGGAATATGAATGATAAAAAACAACAACCTTTGAGGTTGTTTTCCTGTCATCCAGCAGATTTGTTGGGGTGGGGTTTTTTTTTTCTTTTTTCTTTTTGCAGACGGATGGGTTTATGTGTCACAGTCAAAACGTGATTAGAAAGTAAAATGAAATCATGTTTTTTCTAATGCAGAAACTGACAGGCAATATAATGTCTGGCTGTGTTTACAAATTAGCACCAGGGCTGCTGAGATAGAAGATTTCGCAATCGTTACCAAACACAGGCATTACCATTTAAAAAACTATTACTTCCTTCTCTAGTCTTTGTCCAACAATAATACTGATTCAAACATTTTCCATTCTGTCTTGGATTTATGCTCCTGTTAATTGTGCCTGATCGCAATGATTCCGGGTGGATGGTACTAAGTTGCTTTATTACAGGTTTTATTATACTCAATGCTCTCATTTGTAACTTGCCTAAAGTGCTTCTGGATTTAAGTATAATTAAATTGAGAAATGTTCAGAAATGAGTACTGCTGCAGTTCTTGTGTTTTAACTATATGGGGAAATATGATCCCTTTATGCATGCACCCTAAACTCATAAAGTAAATGTAGTGTGGCATAATACTTTTATTTGTGTTATTTCTAGACCTTGTCCATACAGGAAAAACTGTTAAGTTTAAAACCCCACTGAGATATTAATGATTAAATAATTTTCACCATCAATTTGATTTTCTTAAATATTAAGCAATCATTATTAAAGGTTAACTGTTGCAGCAATGGGAAAATTGAAAACAACCCTTTTCCTGACCCAAATTCCTTTGAAAGAATTTTTCTTTAAGCTGGGGGAGGGGAGGGAGAGCAGCAATTGGGTTTCCTTGTTTTTATTTAATCTTTTGGTTAATTTCTTCCACTGACCAATTTCACTGCAAAGAGTAACTATACAGGTGTTAAGAATTCACACCAGCCACTTTGGAATTTTTGCAAAGTAGAGCAGTTCTAATTCACAGTAATCCTAAAAGCTTGCAACATTATCTTGCAATTCAAATATTTCCAAAGACCAGGCTAGGAAAAGGATTTGGAGAATCTTTGGGAAGAACTAAAATGATCACAGCTTCTAGGTTTGTTTTTTAATTGCTCTTTCCCCAACTATTGCTGTTCTTATTTTCCTTCCCAAGAAATGTACTGTTTAGTATCAAGTTTCTAAAAACATGCTCGAACACACACACACACACACACACACCCACACACACTGCTTACTAAACCCCACATTGAGTTAAGTTCCTACTTTCCTGCTTTCCATGCGAGGCTGCTAAACATAACCAACAAATTTCGGTGATTAACTGTGCTAAATAAGAGATGTAATAAATTTTCTATTCTCCTATGTGACTTAAATAAAGTTTTAAATTCACCAAGCAAGCAGGTAAGTTCATCTGACCATTTTCTTTGCAATCTAATGCAGTAATCATTAAACTGTCAACGGACATATTGCTGCAATATTTGATGCAGTAATTCGAAATAGCATTTTAGCAAAAATCACATCCAGATACATTTCCTCTCCAAAGAAAAGCAGCATTAACAGAGCTTTTACAGCTTTAATAAAATTATTGGCTTATTCTAATTCCATTTCAGGAAGGTTGTGAGGAAACCATAAATATGCAGAATTGAAGCAGAGATGGAGGTTTAAAATTAATTTCAGAAAGTATTTTCAAATTATCAATACCTGCTTTACATTGTAATAGTAAATGTGCTAATACCATGCTTATTAAGAGACCATTTTATGCCACATTTATTGATAACTGAATTCAAACTTAAGTAATTATTGCCCAATAGTCTCAAAATATTTAATGTAATATGGGGTGTAGCAGGTTCTTTCTTATAGGCGTTGGGAACCTAGCTAATGATTTATGAGGTCAGCACTTAGCACCCCTAGGAAGAGAAGAAGGCTGCATTTTAATGTCCCTCTGCTCAGATTTGCTATTTATTCTTTAATCAGAGTAGGGGATACACATAACTAAATCTGGTAAAAATATTTTTTTTAGTATGACGTTTACACTTTATTTTAAATTGCCAGGGCATTTAATAAGCTCTTTCGGTTCAATTTAACATCTTTTTCCGGACAGGGAGAAATCCCCATGCCAGACTCAGCGATGGAATTAGATCCTCTCCCAATCGAAACAGTTTACAGTCTTGGAGAGGGGAAGATATTGTGACATTGTCTGATTTATTTGAGTTGGTGGAAATGGTAATGCGGGCATTGTTTGAAGGAGTTCCAGGAACCATTGTTCCTGGGACAGAACTCTCAACTTCTTTCTAAATTTGTTTAATTCGGTTCTCTATGTGGATCCCTAAAGCGCCCGCCTCCCCCCACCCCCCATGAAATTTTGAAAAAAGTAAACAGCGTTGAGGAAAACCCGGGCCCACCGGCTGTGTGTCCCCGGCATCTTCTCTGGGAGTGGGTGAGTAGGCGCTGCACTGCCTCTCGCACCGTCCGCGCGGCCTCTTACCGGGACGTCCTCGATGGCGTGAGGTAAGGAGTGGATCGGGAGGTCTCCGATTCCCGAGCCAAGCCCGTGCGGGCCGTGCAGGAGGTCCTCGTGCCGTCGGTAGTCCCTGCGAGGATCCAGGCCCGGCAGCTGGTGGGGCAGCCCCCGGTGCGTGTGCAGGAGCCCTGACTCCTGGCTCTGCCTCTGGCCGGGCCAGCCCGGGTGCTGCGGCTGCGGCTGGGCGTGCAGGGGGTTCAGGCTGTAGGGGTCGTTGACGTGGGAGTAAGGATCTTGCGACTGGGGGTAGATAGGCTGATAGGGCGGGGGGAAGTAGGGGGGCTGGAAGTCGGCATTGGGGGTATGGGACAGCGGCGGGGCGCTGGTGTAGGGAGATTGACCTACAGTGCCCAGCTGGGGCAACCGTGCCGTCCCGTTGCTGGTGCCGTCGTGACGGTCCTAGAAAAGAGCAGAAGGAAGAGCAAAACGAACAAGAAATCAGGCGGCGAGTTACAGCTGTCCACACGAAACCCACTCCGCCAGGCTGCGTGGGAAACCGCCCCTTCCCATCGGCAGGCCTCAGAAAGAAATGAGCTCCAAGTTGTTTGTTTCGGAAAATACTCCAGAAGTGAACCGGGCCCTTCCCAAATCGCAGGGAATTAGTGTGCAAATACGGGAGCATAAGGGATTCTCCTTAGCGGGTTCTTTCAAAAGCGGTGGTGATGGGGTAGGGGTGGGGGCCATGTAGAAAAGGACCTCCCAGAATAGAGCCCGTTAAGCTGCGGTGTGAAATCTCCCTTAAGCAAAATTAAAATTCCTACTAAATATTAAACAGTAGAAGCGGCGTTTTCTTTTCTCCCGGATTTGAACCTGCCTTACACTGCGTTATTGTTTACTTGGTTCCATTTATTTGGAGGGGAAAATCATACACGTTCAAAGATTACTGGCATTTCGTAACTATTAAATAGAAATATTTCACAGAACTATAACGAAAGCACAGGTTTAAATTGCCAGCTTAAAGAAGGTTTTAACTGCAGCGGGGGTGGGGGGCGGTCTGTATTTTCTGCTTCCTCAGTTAGAAGCCCTTTTCTCCACAGGGTCGATTTATGACATGGATGTGGAGAAGGGGACGTAAAGGCTTAAAATATAAATATTCCGCCCGTCTTTTTGGGTTTAAAAGAGAGAGGGGCACCCCGGGGCGGAGACCCCCGCCCCTTTCACCCCATCCCCAAAGGGCAAAAGAAATGCCAGACTTTCTGTTCCTCTATTGAAATTCGCTTGCTGGACAAGCTAACAGAGTTGATTCCAGGGAATTCGAACCTTCGGAGGTTCGGCCCGTCCTCGGGGGTAGGAGGGCACATTGGGCTGCATTTTTTTCAGCAAACGTATATAGCATCAAATGTTGAAGCACATCTCGGGAACAAGTGAAGACTCAAGGAAATAAGGATAAACGTGGCGAGAAACACGCCTTGGGAAGTAGCGGCGAGGGAGATCTGCGAGCTGGGAGATGTCCAGCAGGGACGAAGGCATTTGAGAATGGAAAAGTGGGAAGAGAGAAATGCAAATAGGGGTGCCCCGATGGAAATCTGGGCGTGAAACCCGAGGTTTCTCAGAACAGAATTCCTAAGGAAACAGGAATGGGGGTGGGGATGGGACTCACCATAGCTGAAAAACTGTGAACTAACATCTGCGAAGAGTCTGGGGTAACGAGTCAGGGTGGAAAAAAAAAAAAAAAAAAGCAAGCCCGGAGAGACCGGCTGCCCCGCCGCCCGAGTACGCCCCACACAAAAGGCGCGGGGAGCCCCGAGCCACCCTGGACTCCAGTCACCGCGCCGACGCTCCCCCGAGCGCTGTAGCCCCGCTCTGGTCCATCCGAACTTGAACCACCCGATTCGAGCGGCGCCTTCAGCTGGTCGAACCCACGGTCTCTATCCTGCCGTAATCGGTTTTGATTCAAAGTTCCTTAGAAAATGAAAAGCCCCCAAAAAGAAAAAGTGTGTGTGTCTGTGTGTGCGCGCGCGCTTGTGTTCCTTAATCCGTGTCTCCCCTCTTTTCTTAGCGGCGGCTTCGCTTGAGCTTCTAATAACCGCGCTGGGCAGCGTTCCTGGAGCCTCCTAATAGCAGATATTCATGACTATTAATATTACACGAATACTTAATAAGGGAAGAATGCCTGGAAATCGAGCGTGAAGCGGAGAGGCAACTCGCGCTGGAGCCGGCTCTCAATGCAGTCCATTGACGGGAGCCTCAGTGTAGCAAATCGGAGGTGGGGAGCGGGAGCGCCAGAGACAAAAAGCGGGCGAGAGAGGGAGCGGGCGAGCGCGCGGGGGGCCGCAGCGCAGCGTCTGGCGAATCACAGGGAAGGGCCAACATTTTAAAAGGTTGCAGGGCATGCAAAAGTGAAAGAGAAAGAGAGAGAGGGAGACAGAGGGAGCGAGTGCAGAGAGGGAGAATGTGTCTGCGTGCGTGTGTGAGAAAGAAAGTGTGGGCAAAGGAGAGGAGCCTGGAGTGGGAAGAGAGGAGGGAGGAAAAGGAGGGAGAGCCCAAGAAGAGGGAGGGAGGGAGGAGGGGAGGGAGGAGGGGGAGCCGGAGGGGGCTGGGTCCGAGAGCGTGGAGGGGGAGGCCGCGCGGGAGGGGGAAGGGGGAAAGGTAGCGAGTGAGGACAATCGGACCTAAAAGGCTGGGGCAGACCTCGGGATACCGTGGGGGCCGCGAGCCACCGGCTGCAGCTACCGGGGACCGCGTCCGGGCGTTCATCCGGCTCTCAGCACCGGAGGTGCTTCCCTGCCCTCTCCGAACACGAGCTCCTCCGTTTCGCAGCCGGGCCTGGGACTCGGGATTCGGCTGCCCGCTGCCTCGCTGCTCCTCCATCCTGCGGGGCCCCACCCGGGACCGGCCCACGTCTCGGCCGCAGCGCTACCTTCCCTTGGACACCCGGGGCTGTGCGTTCGGCCGCAGCTGCTGCCCCACCCTCGGCTCTCCAAGGCTGGGGCTCGGGGAGGGGAGCCGGGACGCGGCCCCGGGCGCGCAGAGACGCGAGGCGGCCCAGCCCGGGCGCCGCTGGCACCGACTCCGGGCTCAAACCCGTCCGACTGGCTGGGCCACTCCCGCCCACGCCCCCCCCTCCCCCGCCCCGGTTGACAAGGCTCGTTCTTTCCCAGCTCCGAAAGGCTGCTGCCGCTGCCAGTCTGCCCGCCGGGTTGTCAGAACAAGCGGCACCTCGCCTCCTGCGTGTCCCTGCAGAGCCCCGACATAATGAGACTGCACGAAGCCGGCTCGGAAACCCGAAATCCCTGCTCCGGCGCTCGCCCACCCCAGTCAAAGTTGTTGAAACAACCTTCACTTTATTTATTTTCTTCCCGGTCTTGTTTCTCATATTCTCTCTCCTCTCTCTCTCTCTCTCTCTCCCTCCCCCCCCGGCGTCATTCATACACACATTCACTCGCACCCTTATAGGGTCCCTCTCTGGGGGTGCAAGTTCACTGCCTCCCACCTACGTCCGGTAGTCTCCTAGCGCTGCGCGGAACTTGGGACTCCGCTGGCAGGGAGCTCAGTGTCCGCAGCTGGGTTTGTGCCCCCGCCAAAGTGAATGCCGGAGCCTTGGGCTTTCACCCTACAAGACGTAGGGGCTGAGTTTCACCCCAACTAGCTCGCAAAAGACACCCCGGTCCCGAAAACAAAGCAGCTAGTCTGACGTGGGGTGTCTGCGCTCCGCACCGCACACGACGTGAACCCTCAGAGAAATGAGGGTCCCCGTGGGATGTCACCCCGCGCCTTGTAGGGGTAGGGAGAGCGAAAAGAGAGGGCCCGGGAAGGAGAAAGATTTAAAATAATCTAGAGATAGTAGGGGAAAGGGGTACGGGTCCCCCTCATAAATCCACGTTCCGATTTCAAGTGAAGACAAGACTTCTGCCGCTGTGCCCTCACAGACCTCCACGCCTGACATTCCCAGCTCCAAAAGCCAAAAAGAAAAAAGAAAAATGGCAAAAGCCGGACTGCCACCTATTTATTTAGGTAATCTCTGGCAGTGGCCCCCTCCCCCTTCCGTGACTCATCGACTCATTTCTGCTGTAGTTGTAAGGGCGGTAGGAGCAGCGGCAGGCAGGCCGGGTCTCAGCGCCTCCAGCGGGCGAACCGGTGGTGCTGGGGCTTCTCCGGCTGCCGCAAGAACCCGAGCTCCCGGGACCCTGGGTTTTTTAATGGGCTCCAGCGCGACGCGCTCTATCGGCTCCGCTAGCTCCCCGCACCGCAGGTCGAGTGCAGCCCCACTAGGATTCCCACGGTCACGCAGTTGAGTGTTGGGCGGCTGCAGGGGCAGATGAGTGGGGAGCCCGGAGCCAGCACGATCCGCGCCGCGCAGTCCCCCATACCCACCTCAAGGACGCGCTAGCCAAGTAGTTCAGAGAGACTGAAGCTGTTTAGAACTTCATGAATAACAGAGTGTACCTGGAGCGGGCCCCGCAGCAGCCTGCGAGATGAGTGCGCACAAACTGAGCTCGCTAAAAGAGAGACGCAACCCAGCTTAGAGGGTAGTATAATGGGGCCCCTTTTCCAAATAGAAATGATCCATTTTTGAGAGGTTGAGGGAGGAATAAATAAAGGAACATTTAAGGATCCTTGTGGAAGTTAAAGAAGGAAAAGGGGTTTTTCTCTGTCCTTTCTCTTCCTGGTGAATTTGTCCCCCAGAATCTCGCTGGAGAGACACGCGGAGTGTACAGGCGCGTGCCTAGTTGCCAGCAATTGCTTCAAAAACCCATGCTCGTATCTTGTGTCTACTGTTAGGCACAGACAATATTGGTCAGAAAAAGTGGGAAAGTGGGACACAAGCTTCGAAGGGGGGAAATGAAAAGGGGAGCGTCCACATCCTCCCTCTCCAACTCTCCCCTGCGTTCTTCGGGCGAATCGGAGAGTCGGGCGCTGCGCGGGGGAAAGTTTGTCCCACCGGCATTTCTCAGCTGGCTGCCAGAAGAGGAGGTGCAGGAGGGTAGAGCTCGGAGCCTGAGGCCGCAAGAATAACTGAGCCAGCGCCGCGCTTACCTCGCAGTCCTCGTACTTGATATTATCCGTCAGTTTCCAAAGCATTTTCATGGATCGGCGTGAACGGATTTGCCCCCTCTCTGCCTCGGCACCCAAGTGCAGCTACTCTCTGGGTAAGCGAAAAGTGCCGGCTGCGACGGAGATCAGAGGAGGAGGAGGGAGAGGAGGGGGAGGGAGAGGAGGAGGAGGAGGAGGGCAGAAAGGAGGAGGAGGAGGGTGAGGAGGAGGAGGCGAGAAGGGAAAGAGCTCCCGTGTGCGCTCGGAGATCTCCCTCTAATGGTAGAAACTTTTCCCTTTTCCAGCTCTTTACCAACAGTCTAATCGCCTCATTAGCATATCAACAATAGTCCAATTGCTCGCCAGCACCACGTTCTGCAGTCGGCCGCTCCGACCTAGGTATAAAGGCCTCTCGCAGCCGCGAACTTGCTCCTAGAGCTCAGGACTGCCTGCGAGCCAGTGGTCTCCCTTGAGCCCCACCACACGCGCTCCTCCCGCCTCCTCCCACCCCCCGCATTCCTCCCCACTGCTCTTCCTCTTCGTCCCGTCCTGGAAGGAGGTGTCAGGCGCTCAGGCCCGTAAGGCGCAGAAACTGAGAGCCCGCGCCCTAGGCCAAGCCCTCAGCACCTTTCCCCATCCCTGCTGCCCAAACCCGCGCTGTCCTTTCGGGCCCCGTCCAATTTTATTAGAAATTAGTATCCCTTTCGCAATTAAATATAACCACCAAACCAAGACTGGCGAAGTCACTCCAGGATTTTTGCCCAACAAGAGATCGCCTCCACTCTGGGCAGCCACCACCTCAGGCCTCAGAGCTTTGGGAGTTTTATTGGCTTTGCTCTTTACCCCCAGGTTGGAGATTTTGCTAAACGGTCCCAGTCGCTCGGCTGGGGGTTGCGATCCTTTAATTGCTGCGTGTAAAATAAAAATTGTACCCTGAAGAGGTTGCTTGACAGCTCGAGGAGTTAAATGATTTTCCTCTCGTTTGTATGAAGCTAGAGTCGAGTGATAACTCAACGTGGCGTTTGGGATAAGGGTTTCCTAGGTGCGATGTGGACAAGGATATAGAACGCCTATAGCGACTCCATAGTCACTTCTGGAGTTGAGCCGAAATACTGACATGTGTGCACCCTATCATGCATGCATCAAAATAAATCGCTGGGAACCAACTCTCCACTGTGCTAATCTGCTCCAGTTTTCCCAAGATCCCCCTTTTTAATTAAAGTAGGGAGAGTTCCTTCCTGATTTGGTGATGTTACTAACGCGGGCGCACTCCTTTCCTAGTGCCTGGCTGACGAGGAGCCCAGGGACAGGGCAGCTCTCTCCTCCTGCACGTTTGCCAGTATAACATCTCCCACTCCCACAGGGGCCTGCTTGCTTTATATTTCTTCTTCTGTTTTAGCAAAAGTTTTAAGGAAGAAAGAGAAAACAAAGATGTGATATTCGAAATACAGAGTAGTTAATTTCTCTGGCTGAGCTTCCACACTTGTCCTCCACGAAAAAAGTTTCTTTCTCCCATTTGAATACAAAAAACTGCCCAACAACAGTAGGTCGTGCCTCACAGTGCTCTACTAAAGACTTCTGATTCCCTCTGGGCCTGTTTCTTGAAAATCTCCAAGCCCTCCAGATTTCCATAGTGTCCTTGAAGTGGGGCACAGGTTGTTGAAAATCGGATTGCTCCCTAACAGGTGGAAAGAAGGCAAGAGGAGAGAGGACTTCTCCCCGCGAGCATGTGGTAGGGCAATTCTGTCTGCAGAGGACCGCAGCAAATTTCCCTAGCCAGGCAGAGTAGGCCAAGAGGCCCCACAAAAACTTAGAAAAAAGACTAGAGTTAGAAGGAGGATTTAGATCCGGAGGACTCCACTCCCCCACCACACACACACACACACACACACACACACACACACACACACACACACACACACACACACACACACTCTGGGCGCTCCTCTTCACTCCCTCCCCCCGCCCCCCCGGAAAACTCCTGGGGTCTTCTGGCTGATCACTGCTCCAGGCTCCGCGCGGCACTCCACCCAGGTAATGGGTCACCTCTAGTGCTAGCACTACGCACTCTGTGGGCTGCCCGGGAGCCTACCGCCCAGACCAGCTGCTTGAAGTAAGGAGATGGGCCGCTGGGAAGACTGACACCCTTCCGGAGGCAGCCGCAGACGCAGAGCGTGATCAATAGGCCAAACCCCAGGCCTGGGAGCATGAATTTTCTACCCTCAAATGTCGCCACAGCGTGCTTAAGGGAACTGAGTTTCGCTTTCCTTCTTTCAGTTTGCGGGCTGGGGTAGGCATTGGCTCTTCATCTTCTCCACTCCCCCTTCCCCTTGCTGCCCCGCACCCCACACATCCCCAGCTCCAGCTCCACACCCGCCAAGGCTGCTAAACTGTTGTTGTATTCCTGCCGTGGGCGCCTTTGAGGTGCAGATTGGGGCCTACGGACTCTGCGCTGCCGCCGGTGTTTTGGACACTGAAAAAACGCCCAGGCAAGCACCCGGGTCGACCCTGGAGCCAACCTAGCCGCGGTAGTGTGAGCGTCATTACCACGACAAGTCACTCGATTGCATGTCAATGCCTGGGCCTCGCCAAAACCCCAGGACAGCAGCGCCAAGCCTGCGGTTAGGGGCGGAAGGGGGTCCAGGCCCAATTTGGGGGTGTGGAGAGGTCGTTGGGGTAAGAACAAGTATCTCTGTGAAGACAGAGATACCCAGAGAAACAAAGAGGCAGTGAGAGGCCAGAAAGACTTTGTTTTCTCCGGTTGTAACCACACAGTAGGACCCGGGAGCCAGTCAAGCCAACCCCAGAGCATCCCATCCCTCCTGTCTCCAAATCCTCAGCGTCCTATTTGAGATCCAAGATTTCCACCACTTTGCCAAATCGTGAGCCCGCAGGAGCCAGGCCCAGGGTTAACTCCTTTCCCCTTTCCGTCTGTAACCTCACTGCTTCAGAACCGTAGTTGGGCTCACTGGAGGCCCAGCCTGACATCCCAG